ATTCATTAGAGGGTCCATGTCCCTCTTGGGGGGAAACTCCCACTAGGTTTATATCTGGGACTCTCCACCATTTGACCTTAGAACTGAAGAAGCTTCTCGGATGAGAGGTGAAACGTCTTCAAGCAAGTTAAAGAAGTCCAGACGCTTTTCTTTGCAAGCTCCTTAGTTGAAAAAAGCACTTCACAAAAACTTCATGAGAAACTTTAAAAGCAATGCCACTGACTGTTATATCTTAATCATCTCATTTAATCATGGCTCAAGGTGCTTTATATCTTAAGGTAAAGACCCTACAGTAATTGAAAGAAAACAGAGAAAACTCCAACAATCACATGAACCCCTATGAGCAAGCATTTTGGCAACAGTGGGAAGGAAAAACTTCCTTTTAACAGGAAGAAACATCCAGCAGAACCAGACTCAGGAATGGATGGCCATCTGCCGCGACCAGTTGGGGCAAGGAAAAGGAAGATGGGACAAAGACACACTGTGGAACAGAGCCAGCGATTAATAATAACTAATAATTAAATGCAGAAAGGTGTGTAAACACGTAGTAAGGGAAAAGGGTCACAAAGAAGAAACACACAATGCATCATGGGAATCCCCAAGCAGCCTAGATGCACTGCAGTGTAACTAAGGGAGAATTCAGGATCACTTAATCCTGCCCTAGCTATAAGTACAATAACCTCAGTTTTATCTGAATTAAGAAGCAGAAAGTTAGCGGCCATCCAGGTCTTTATGTCTTTAAGACATTCCTGCAGTTTAACTCATTGGTGTGTGTTATCTGGCTTCATGGACAGATAGAGCTGGGTGTCATCAGCATAGCAGTGTAAATGTATGCTATGTCTTCTAATGATGCTGCCTAAGGGAAGCATGTATAATGTAAACAGAATTGGTCCTAGCACTGAACCCTGTGGAACTCCATAATTAACCTCAGTGTGTGAAGAGGACTCTCCATTTACATGCACAAACTGGAGTCTATTAGATAGATATGATACAAACCACTGCAGCGCAGTACCTGTAATCTGCTCTGAAACCTGACTGAAACTCTTCAAATAAACCTCTGCAGATGATCTGTTAGCTGTTTGACAACTACTCTTTCAAGGATGTTTGATATAAAGGAAGGTTGGAGATTGGCCTATAATTAGCTAAGACTGCTGGGTCTAGAGATGCTTTTTGAGTAAAGGTTTAACTACAGCCAGCTTGAAGGCAAAGAGCAAAACAAACAAAAAATTAAGAAAAGTAGCTGGATATATTGGTTTAACTCAACATACTTACAACATATTTTTAAGATCAATTACTGATAATCCTGTTGCTAATGGAATAACCACATAAAAATGTACAGATAGTCCATACTACTACTTTGAGGAAGTTTAGGAAACAGACAGTTTGTAGCACATACTTCATGTCGATTAAATTATTATAGATTATATTTGACCAGCCCCCCAAAAATCAGAATCTAAAGCCAAAATCTATAACTCATCAGTGTCATAGGCTGTAACATAGTTTCTCTGCACCGGTTTAATGTCTATGATGTATAGTCACAGAAGTATCAATACATTGGATGTAAAAAACATAGATTCATTACTAAAATAATTACTGTAAAAGGGATTTCATGGTAAGCTGTCTCTAAAAATAGATTCTGGTTTTGTTTTACAGATTTTAACCTTATTTTAAATAGGATTTGATGATTGTTAAAAAAAAAAAAAAAAAAATCAATTATCCAGAATTCGCTGGAAAGTGTCAAAAAAATGAAATCCTTTGACAAAATATGAATGGTATGCTTATGTCTGATCATATATTGATACAGTTTTGAGTTTCATAGTTTGTGTTTTAACAATTCAAATAAGTAAACCATAAAATCTGAGGTTCCCAATGTTTGCATTTCTTCTTTTTTCTTCCTGTCACACAAACAAACAGTGATACTTGGAGCTAGAACATGGCCACATTTAGGCTCTTAATCATAGCTTCTTGTTTTTTTGGCCTAAATGCAATCCACAAGGGGTTTAGTGGGAAGTATCCACTGGAGAAAATACAATATAGCATTTCTGTTTTAGTAGGACTCACACCAAACGCTGGTCAAGACAGCAGGTTGTATTTTTATACTCCTATTCAATAAGAGCAGGAAAGTGACTTAAGTAAAGTTAAAACCAGAGGAGGAAAAAGTACAGACTTTCTTTACTTAGAACTATAGATACCTGTGTCTAAAAAAATACTCCAATAAAAGTAAAAGTACTGAAGCATCTTTTTTACTCACGTAAAAGTGAAAAAGTAAAGGCTCTGAAATGTACTCTAAGTAGGAAAGTAAAAAGTAGCTCCTTGAAGGACATTTCTAATTCTGTACAAAGGAAACTGATCCCTGTGCTATATTAATATAATAAAATAATATTATTACATAATAATCCAAATATTTAAATATAAATTCTAATTCAATTGAATGCACTCAGTTTGAATCTGTTATGTAGGGATTCAGCAGGTGGGGAACCCTTAGATCTGTGTAGTGTCTCCGCATAGGGAAAAGAATCACAACTCAAAATGTCTTGGCCGATTCCCATTTTCTAAACTGACTGCACACTGTATATTGTGTTGTTACTAAACTGTTGGTCCAAATGTGGATTCAGCAAATTAATCTAACCATGACGGCCCCAAACAGCTGGAGGATACATATGAGAACTGCATGAGAACTTAAATGCAAAACGTAATGAATATTAGCATATTACTGTTGATTTAAACCAGGGCTGCCCAATCCCAGTCCTCGAGAGCTACTATCCTGCAGCTTTTAGATGCATCCCTACTCCAACACAGCTGAATCAAATGAATGGCTTGTTATCAGGCCTTTGCCAAACACGATGGCATGCTGAAGAGGTAATCAAACCATTTGATTCAGCTGTGTTGGAGTAGGGATGCATCTAAAAGCTGCAGGACGGTAGCTCTCGAGGACTGGGATTGGGCAGCCCTGATTTAAACCAACACTGACCATGGACACCACAGCCACTGTGCTTTACAATAAATTAACCACAGTACGACAAGCTAACATCTTTATCTCATACAAACAACTATTTTCAGCAACACACTCAGCGTCAAACTGCACACAACAGTTGGTATGTTTATTTATGTTTGTTAAGCTTGAATTTCAAATTACCTGACACTTAAAAAATGTAACTCCCTTCATGTTTTCTCCATGTAATGCTAGCTAGATTTGAAGTACCGCAACCACAACATAC